GGAAGTGGCTGCAGTGCATTAGCACGAGAGGAATACTGACTTCTTCCTCAGCCTTTCCTTTGCAAAACCAGGCTGAATACCTCGAGCTTTGAGATGGGGAAAACAAGAGCAAGAAAATTTTTACTTATTTGTTTGCTGCTCACAAAGTGGGAGTGGCGAGGCAGAGAACAGTCATATCATAGGAGTCTGTGAAAAGCTGACGTACCATTAAAGCTGAAGATGTGTTTGATGTCAGGCCATGCAAGCACGTGGTGCAAAATCTCATCAAAATCATCCTCAGACTGCTCGTTCTGAGGCCACGACTTCACAATGATAGTCGATACGAGCTGGCTGAACTGGCTCAGGTTGTAGGAAGAGATCTTCTCCAGGAGATTGCTCTCAGCCTGCACGAGGCACACAGGACAGAGGGGAGCAACACATCAGTGGTTTGGCTCACGCTGTGTCTGGTTTCGTCCTGGGATCTGGCACCAACACCAAAGAGTCACCCCTCCAGTGCCGAGGCAACTCCCAAAGAGCCGAACGACAAGACCGACACCAGAGGGCACGATGGCAAAACCAAGTATTTTTCATGGACCCTTTGTAAGTGGGTCCTCACTTCCCCACTTCTTGTCAATCTTCTTTTTTTGTTTAACAGACAGAAACAACCCACAGCAACACAAGCAGTAAGAGGCTGAATGTGCAACTCTCCTTCCAGCACAAGGCCCATTCCTACGTTATGCAACAGGATTTCTGTGCAACAGGAAATCGGACATTTCCTTTTCCTACCTTGAGGGAAAACACGGTACCTGGCAAGCTGCAGTTACAGCCTCTGTGGCACAGTTACGGAAGCACCAGTCAATGGAGGGGTCGAGTTGCGTAAACCGGGAGTGCTGACAGCAGTACACTAAGATTTGGTTAACTGGAGGCTCCTATAGGGCAAAAGGGAGATTTCTTATCAACTTCAAGTTTCCAAAGTGTTTCTTCTGAAAGCATGAAGGAGTCTGCTACTAGGGCAATAAAAGGAACTAATTTAAGTGGAACTGAACATCAGAGCCTGGAAGAAAGGGGAAACACAAATGAGTGCTTGGAAAAATCTTTCAGATTGTTGCCATCTGAAACGAGTGATGACTTAATATGCATCTCTCCTTCCACCAGGGAAGATTTTTTTCTGGATTATAACATGAAAATCAATGGCTTAAGGAATTTTGCAACTAATATAGGAGGGGAGATACACAAGCTCAGCGTACAAGAGACCTACACATTTGGGAGCCTGGACACCACTATTTCTGCACAATGAATGGGAAGAAACAAACACCAACTTGGCTTCACTAATGCTGACTTTATACCCACTGTTTCCTAAAACTACAAGGGTGGTAATTGCTTGCCATGTGCAATTCCTTCTAAAGCATCAGGATATCAGTTGCTGAGCGAGCTGCAGCCAGGCTCACAGGCGACTGGAGCCTCTGACGCCCAGAAGACAGCACGGTAACACTTTTGTGTCCAATTTTTGAGCCTCCAGAGCATGATTTATGTTGGGCCCCCCAACATGGGCAGGGGCTGCCAGCAGATCCCTCCTACCTCCTGAATCCTTCTCTCCAGATCTGCGAGTAGAGTCTTCTTCCAGCGCTCTGTGAACTGCTCATCTGGAAAGCTGATCCTCAAAAATTCGTTCCAGGCCTGCAGAAGGAGCAAACCCTAAGTGCGGCCATTTAACATGCAAATAAGGAAATTAAAAGAATGATGCTGAGGAAGAGAGGCTCCCCAGCCTGCAGTCCTTTCAGAAGTTTTCACCCAGTAGAAAAAGAGCCATAAAAGACATCTTTTAAGCCTAAATGTGCCAAAATGTCCCAGTTGCTAAAGGAGACATTTGGATGCACCACTTCCACCTTGATGCCAGAAACTGCCCCACGGAGGGCTGGGGTGGGTGAGCCCGACTACCAGAGCTGCTCCGTGCTCTCGGAATAGCTGAGAAAAAGGAAAAAGAGAATGATGTTGCTTCTCAGCTCGTGCTCTGCACTGCCTGTCCCCACCTCCTGCCTCACCCAGACACAGTGACAGCTCTCGGCAAAGAGCCATTAGACACAAGACTGTGGTTGAGGATAAAACATCTTTTCTGTTCATATTATTAGAAGATGACAAACCTGAAGTTCCCAATAGAAGGAGAATGACACATGAGCCAGGTGCTCTTTCAGTAAGTTCTGTTTTAAAGTATTTCTGAACCAGGTTCGAGTGTCTCTTAGAACTTCAGCGAATACTTCTGCCAGTGAAACTTCCCGCACAGCATCTCCTGGAACCTGCCACACACACAGGAAAAGAAAAAAAAAAGAGTTCAAGCAAGAGAGCAACGTACAACTCAAATATTTCTAAAAGAGAAGGTCTAAGGGCCTTTTATATTGTTTAGGACAAGAGGGAACAGCCTTAAGTTGTGTCAGGGAAGGTCGATATTGGATGTTTGGAAAAACTTCCTTGAAAGGGTTGTCAAGGATTCAAAAGCCGTGGAGAAGTGTGCTTGGGACACACGGTAGAGTTGGGCCTGGCAGCGTTGGTTAATTTAGAGTATTAAGTTCTTCAAATTGAGACTAGATATGATCTCAAGCTAGTCTGTTGTACTGCTCTTGGAATACTTCTAGATGTCTTGCTCCTATGACCCGTGAACGGTTCCTCGGTACTCACTGGGAGGGGCTGATGTTTGGCAACCCTGGCGATCACCGTGGCAGAAGCGACCTGAATCCTGCACCGCTCCCCCCAGCTCACGTACTTGCAGACCCTCTGGTGCAGCTTGAGGGAACAGGTCAAGCAGAATTGCCAAGAGCGAGCTCCCAGGGGTCTGAAGGACAGCGATAAAAAAAGGAAGAATTTGTTTTCCCCTCTAAGCAGAAAATAAAAGCAAGAAAACCCCCACCAAATTACGTTCAGCGTGGCAACTAACTATCCCCCCCTCGGATGGATTTAAATAAATGTTTTCCAGCAGAGGGATAAGAAATGCAGGATTCTTGTATTCATACAGATCTGAAAGCACACGTTTAACTACAAGCATACTCACACCCCACAGGCATGGTGCAAATAAAAAGGAAGATGCTCTCACAAAAGTGCACTTCAGTTACCTGGCCTGTTTCTCATCCAAGGTACACAGCAGTGTCTCTAGAAGACTCTCTACAACCTAGAAATGAAAAGAAAGAAATCAACTGTGTAAGCAATTTTACAGACTCATTTCTCACTAGCTGAGGGGGTGCCGTAAAAGGAGAAATTTTCAGTGTCCTGTACCTTTTCCAATGCTTTTAAATACACTAAAAAACCCACAAAAAGTTATTTACTGGATGTTACGGTCAACATATAGGCAGCTATTATTTGCACAAACAAAACCTGCACTTCTTATCATCTAAGGGTTTAAAATGTGCTGTTATTAATTGCAATGTCCAGTCCCTGCTGTCCTCACAGAAGCAGCAGTGTTTCCACAACAGGCAGGAAGATCTCTCACACCAGTAGCCCAGAACCCCCAGTGTAGAAAATAGTTTCAGGCAGCATTCTGAGCACCTCGGGATTAAAATATTTGCCATCAGTGACTAAGAGCAAATCCAGACAAGCAGACCTTCCTTGCACCAACGCCAACAACATTTTTTGCTTGATACACCCTCTCATCTGCTCTTAGCAGCCTCCTACTCCAGAGCAACTATCTTTGCTTTTAGCTAAGCTGTAAGCTCCCTGTGCTCCGACCTGCTGCCAGCTACATTCCCTTGGTGACCACCAGCTCTGCTGAAAGGACCCTGCAGCCCAAATTCAGCCGCTGTCCCTTAGCCAGGTAACGCTGCCGGAAGACAAACCTTAGAGCTGCTCCATAAAAGGTCAACGTTCTCTAATCTGAAAGAAACGCCTTGAAGAGTAACTAATAAATCACTGGAGAAGTTCCGTATAAATTCAGCCAGACTCTCCAGGGGCAGCACAGAGATCCAGGATCTGACCAGAATCTTATCAAATTCCATCAAGTGTTTCTTCTCTTTCATTAGTTGCAGTAGAGCTCCCCTGGAGGAAAGACAAAACAAAATCTTCAAGTTTAAGATACAAAAAATGAAAAGCTTCTTTAGCCCACAGAACACTCTCATTCTCACTCATGTTCTTTCATTTACAGATGAAGGTTGGGAGACCCCAAGACCCAGCGATGGCAGAAGCACCGTCAAACTACCAGCAAGAAGCAGGGAAAATAAACTCCACATCTTGCTCAGATTCTGTACGACACGTATCACGAGCTGCTTTAACTCATGCCAGGCAGTGCCAGCCCTGCCAGCTGCTCCACGGCTTGCACAGTTCAGGGTTGTTTGTGTCTGAAAGGCAACACACTGCATAGCTTTGCTACACACCCGCACTTCTGAGCGACTAATACGTCTGTCTTTACATATCCCAAATATCCACCAGCAACATGCTGCATTTCTTATTTTTTAAAAACAAGGGAGAAAAAAAAAAAAAGGTATAAAACAAGGTGATCACCACCAAGTACAGTGTCAAGGCACTGGATAAACTAGTAATTCTGGAAAACTCACTTATCTGCCTTCTTCCTTCTTTCAGCAAACGGAAGCCCTTCCAGACCTGCCCAGCTATCTTCTTCGACTGGGAAGTGGTCGTGCTGCAAAGGAGCAGCTAACAAATGCAGAAGAGGAAGAATCCACACCCATTGGTCTACTTGGTCATCAATGCATCTCTGGCAAAAGTTTATCAGGTGAATCTTCAAACTAAAAAGACAAAAACACCAAAACCACACAACTAAAACTAATACATAAAGTAGAAGAATGGCTTTTTACAGGACTTGAGAATGTCCGTGGATGGAGAGAAGATTATATATCAAATAGGAAAAGCTTCACAAATAGGATTTTTATATATAAAAGAAGAAAAAAAGATAGTTTTAACTCAATCTACTACTCCGGCAAGAGCAACAAGGTGCAATAAGGGACAGCCTGTTTGGGCAAAAGGGAAGTATTTTTTGCACGAAGCAAAGCATGTGACTGTAAGAGGGCCCCAGAGAGGTTGTGCAATCTTCATCCCTTGAGTTTTTCAGAACTTGACTGCAACTGTGCCATTTGTGAGCCCAGATTTGAGCAGGAGGTTGGAACAGAAACTTCCGAGATCCCTTTAAATCTTGTTGTTTTGGTGGGGATTTTTTGTGATTCTCTGACAGTAGAGAACTGAATCCCTTATTGTTCTACCTCAGAGCAAAACCAGCCCGGTTGGTTACCTTGTACTTGGCTCCAGCAATGTACATACCTAATAAATGCTGGAAAAGCATTTTTGACAAGATTAAGCTCATCCAGTACGGCTTGTTGTGACACCTTATCCACGCACAAGAGGCTACACAGGCCAGCCAGATCGGTTTTTGACGCTGGAAGGTTGAATACCCCAATGACTGCGAGAGTGATGAACCCCAGAGCTAGTTTACTTTTTATTACTGCGTCCTCCTGTGATGCTTTTGCACCTTCTGGCACAAAGAAAGGAAGAGCTATTTTCTTTATGTACTGGAGCAGCAAATCATTCACCTACGATAAAGAAGGGAAGAAACAAATCAGCCACAAAGTATTAGTTCCCCAATGAGTCGTTTTCTTCTAAAGCCATCAGGAAGGTTTGGAGTCAAAGACGTGTGCAGATAAATTGGTGACAGAGTAACTGGCAGCAAAACTAACGGGCCCAGCTTAGGAAATGAATCCCCAGACAGCAGCCCTGCTGGGGTAAGGAGACAGCCTGCTGCTGACCAGTACGGGGCACCCAGAGCTCCCCGGGCAGACAGCACTGGTCACCCCGAAAGGATCCCCACTGGTTCTGTCACACCTGAACTTTGACTGGAAAAGCAACATTAACCCAACAAGGCCAACAGCAAAACCGAAGTTCTGTGTTTAGTAACTGGATGTCTGTTTTCTAGTATCTGTTAAAAGAAAATGAGTTACCTGCTTCCTGCCAAAGTTCAACTCTGTCCACAGCACTGCGCAGCCATCGTGTACCCGTGGGTTCATAGTCACGACATGAAACTGTTTCAGCTGCAAGAAGAAGTTTCTCACGTTGTCGGGACTCCAAGTTCCAAGAATGCTGAAGATGTTTTCTAACATAATATTTGCAGCTATTTTCTTTCCTTCCACCACATCTTTGTATTTATCACGAGAGAAGAAATTCCAGAAGTTTTTCATTGCAGAAGGCTCTGCGCACACAATATCGTCATACTGATGCCAGTCTGGAATAAGCAACACAGATAAGAACGAAGGAAAGCAGTCAGTTGAGAAACACAAGCAGTAGCATATGCCTCAACTCTTCCAGCTCTTCCCAGAAATGCCCACACTGACCCATCAAGATTCCAGCTAGCACTGGGCCATATGAACTTAGAGACCATCCCACCAAAAACACACAGATTGTCCCAACATGCAGATCCAGTCAGAACTTACCTCCATTGCTGAGCAGGTTGCTGTGTATGAATAAGCAGCGATTCACATAGTTACGTGATACTGAATGCTTGTAAATAAACTCGTACTTCCCTTCACCACAGAGAACCCAATACTTGTAAGGAATAGACTTATTCACGTTTTCTTTTGCAAGAGTTACAGCGCCTTCGATGAGGTATCCGTGTTCTCCTAGATCCCTAGGGAACAAAGCACAGCAAAGGGAGGCAAAGCATGTGTCAGCTGAGCTATGCACTTCTGTTTCCATGTATCACTCCATTTTTCACAGGAATTGGGATTATTCTTTCATGATGAAAGTTTTAGAATAGTTACCTCCGCTCTGAAAACCTTTTGTAGCAATACCCACCCATGGACATACAGCTACATATTTAAAGCTTAATATTTTTGTGTTAAGTACAACATTGTGCCCTCTTCTCCCGAGGCTCTGCGTGCCTCTGGACGGGACTTACTTGCTGAAGCTCAGCTCACAGATGTTGTCCTTCCAGTCTCTATAGGAAGAAATGCCTTCAGCCCTGATGAACACGCTATGGCTGTCAGGGTTTGCTTTGAAATCTTTGGACAATACTGCATGGAAATACACCGTAACACCATCGCTTTGGCTCACAGTGCTACAACAAGTAATGAGAAAGAAAATAGGAAGAATTCTAGTTTTTTCTTTTTTAATTTTTTTTTTAAACATTGCACAAATCATTATAAAACACAAATAAGATTTGAGCCCTGGCTTACTGAATGCAAGACCCACAAGCTCTGTCAGCAGTTCACTCAAACTGATGCTGCGTAGCAGGTCTAGTGTAAAGCCTCATGCAAAAAGGAAAAATGGGTTCCCAAAGGCAGCACAAAATGCTCTGGGCACACATGTCTGGGCCACTGCATTCATAAAGCCAACACCACACCTCACTCAGCCCAAAACGGCTGCGTTTCATCCCTCTTCCAGCTCGCGCACATTAAGCAAAACAAATTATACTGTTCATAATAGCTCTTCACACCACTTATGGAAAGAGTCACATGTGTGGAGTGCATGTTTCTCTCAAAAGTAAGAAATAAGAGTGCGATCTTTTTTTTTTTTTGCATCAGGTACTCAAAAAGGCTCAAGTGTCAAGTGTCCCTCATCATCCAGGACACAGTCTGTGCTGCAATTCCCAATTAAACACAGGCTGTCTTTTGCAGGAGCAGTTCACCCCAATTCTGCTTCCACATATCCGAGATATATGGAGACCTAATCTTAGCACTTCAATGCCTTGCCTCAGCCTAGGCTCCTCTAGTCTTCCTCACACCAGATCTTGCAAGTGAAGAATGCTGGGGAGCAGCAGGGGAGTTCTTACCTCACTTTAACCTTATCCAGAGGTTTCTCATTCTTTTGTTGCTTTTTGTCCTTGTGTCTGTCGGTTACAGCTGAAGTATCATCCTTTCTGTCAGGTCCTTTGGTGTGACTTGCATTCTCAGTTACTTTGGGTATTTTCTCACTCGAGGTCTTCTTTTTCTCCTTTGTGTCTTCAGTCTGCAACAGGAAGACAGACAATGCCCAATTAAACAGGAGACCCTGGAAGTACAACACCCGTAGGAACAGCCAAGGTTTCTGCAGATGGGTGGGGATACCCAGAAATCAAAGCACACCAGCTCGCTTCACACTTCTGGAAATACGGATTCCTCACTGATGGAAGCCACCAGTTAAGGAGAATAGTGCTGAGGTTGCGAGAGGAACCCAAACGGTAACACATGGGCTAGAAGTCTGGTCAAGAAGGCACAGGTCCTCAGAGGATGTGGCGTAAAGAGAATGAAAGATCACCAGCAGCAGCTGGCAGCTCAGCAGGGCTGTCCCTGAGCACAGCACAGACCCCAACAAAGTACAGAGATCTTGGCAGAGGGATCCGGCACCCCCTCCCCAGCTCATAGTGTCTGGGGGTAACTGAGCAACCACTCCGTGAGAGACCTCAGCTACAACTACCCATGGGACAGCAAAGCTCGAAAGAAACACTTCATAGCGTTCCCTGCTTCCACCCCGTATCCCCAGCCTCATGGCCTCCAGTTTTACCAACAGCACAAAAGAATCAGAAAAGCAAACTTAACCCAGCCTAACCAAACACCCTCCAGAGCATGAGCACGTCCACCCCCCACCTTCTCCTTCAGGGCTGCAGAGCTC